AGGCAAGCCTACCTAATCCACGTTGCTTAATTTCTAATCTTGCTTGCACTTCTGATCTCATGCACAAGACCGCATTGCCGAACGTCAGACCAGGAACCATGACCCCTTTCCATATTCCTCTCACAACATCATACCTATTGTAATTCCACAGTGCCCTGTTTTTCATTACCACTGCATTCCTGTCACCATTAGTCGACACGTATATTTCGTGTTCCCTTAGGTGCTCGGCCCCATTGCTTATCCATACGCCCAGATATTTGTATTTATCTGTTATCTCTAGCGTGACCTCCTGTATTCTAAGCTCACTATCTTCATTGTCATTGAAAAGCATGACTGCTGATATTTCCTCACTGAATCTGAAATCTAACCTATCTCTCTCATTACCGCAGATGTCCACCAATCTCTGCAAATCTTCCTTGTTGTCGGCCATTAGCACTATAACATCTGCGTACATCAATGCTGGTAGTGCCTGATCAATGAGTTTCCTTGTTTGACTAAAGAGAGGTTGAAGCCCAGTCCACTTCCCTCTTATTTGGCCTCTAATACTTGTAGGTACATCATGAATAATAAGGGTGACATAGGACACCCCTGCCTAAGCCCCTGTTTTACCTCTGCAGGCTTGGATACCTGTTTTTCTCACTTTATAATTACCTTGTTACCTTCATAGATATCTTTTAAAAGATTAGTGACTCCATCTTTCACACCCCGTGTGTCTAGTATTCTCCACAAGTCCTCTTGAACCACGCTATCGTACGCTCCCTTGATATCCGAAAATGCTAGCCACAAAGGCCTGAGTTTCTTTTCTGCTATTTCGATGCACTGCGTCAGTGAGAACAGATTTTCTTCCAACCTCCTGTGTTTCCGAAATCCATTCTGCAGTTCTCCAGCACCCCCTAATCCTCTATCCATGCCTGCAGTCTTTCCTTTATAATCTGCATCGCCAGCCTGTAGACCACTGATGTCACTGTTACAGGACGGTAGTTGTTTATGTAAGCTTTGTCCCCTTTCCTTTATAGATCATGCTGATCCTGCTAAGTTTCCATCCATCGGGAACTTTACCATCGATTATTATTGTGCTCACTGCCTCTCTCAAAGCCTGCTTAGACTTCGGACCAAATGTCTTTTATCAGCCTAATAGGAATGCCATCTGGGCCTGTTGATGTACTACTAGGAACCCTTTTCTCAGCCCTTTCCCACTCTAGTTGTGAAAATGGAGCCATTGCGCCACTTGGTTCAACCTTGTCTATTGTGGTGCCTAAAGCACTTTTTTGTTGAAACTTTTCTGTCACCCTTGTTCTTATATATTCAATAGCTTCGTCCCCTTCTAGCCTAGCACCTTGAGCTGTAGTTATAAACCTCTTCTATAGGCTCGTCTCATTTCTTAGGGAGTTTATATGGTTCCAAAGTTTCGTAGCTGCCTTTCTATCTTTTTTGTGTACTTCAGCCAGCCACTGAGCTCCCTTTCTTCTTATCTTTTCATTGATCAGAAGAGATGCATCCTTTCTACAGCTTAGAAACATTTCACAATTTCTTTCAACATCATCTGTCGGTTCACCCCGTTGTTTAGCATGTCTGTGTTCCCTAGATGCTTCCTGACATTTTGCTATGGCTCTCTTAACTTCCCCATCCCACCAACTCTTGGGTTTGTGTCTTCTTTTCCGGGGTGACTTGTCACGTGCCTTACAAGCTCGAGCTCAGTCTAATTAGATTCTTGTACGCCAACACTGTTTTACTGTCATCAGTGAATAATTTCTCAATTAGTTTAGTGGCTATTTCTATTTGTTTTTCTGAATAAAATTTTTCCTATAGTTGCTCATCTTGTCTCCTTCCCACTTTCACTGCTCTTCTAAAGCTTAGCTTGATACGTTTGTGATCACTACCCAGACTTCTGGAGCCACATTCATCTATGTGCAATCCCATGAGCCTAACAAACATCCTATGTGGTATCAGTGCATAATATATCGTCGACTGCAGCCTTCCTACCTCCCATGTTATTTGCCCTTCATACTTCTCGGTACTGTTGCAAATGATCAAATCAAGCCTTTCACACATATCCATGATCATTGTGTTTGTCGGGTTGGTATACCCATCTATATTTTCTATGTGTGCATTCATATCTCCTAGTATAGTTATCTCGCACTCTCTTCCTAACTCCTCAATGTCCTTTGATATACACTCTACCATCGACTGATTTTCCTCTCTGGCCTTTGCTCCCGTCCACAAGTACACGAAACCAAGGAGTGTCATTTACCCTGCCACTTTCCCTTTCAGCCATAAATGTTTCTTGCACTCCTGCTTGACCCTTTGCCAGTATGTACTTTCATGAATGAATGCCCTAATACCACCCCCCTTTCTGCTGCCTTCTGTTCTATTACAATATTCCCACGCGTAGTCTGCATTGTTAGGAGGTTATTACATGTCCTTGAGATGTGTTTCTACAAAGCCGTATACCATCGGCCTCTCCTTCCTTAGCTGTTCTTCTATCTCTTCCCACTTAAGCCTGTTCCTACCACCCTGCATGTTAATATATTCTATGTCTGACTTGGCTCGGCGCTCGTGGCTACGTCTATTTCTGCCCTGTACTCTTCCTATCTTAAATACTGGTGCCACTTTGGAATCGCATCTGTCCATACCACCTGTCAAAGAGTCTCCCTGGTTGTTTTCCTCATTACTAGCTATCCTTCACCCCGAAGGGCTCTCTTGCCCCCCAAAAAAGCTACTGCGCGTCCTGCAAGTCGCCAACCCACCTCATGACCTATCCGCCCATCGAAGTGAATTCTGTCTCGTTGAAAACCCCCCCACCCATGCACTTCTCTGTTTATTTCCACCACCTCAAAGGCTTTCTCTCGACTCATCCGCCATATCTCTTGGTTTGCCTTGACAACTGCTCTTTGCAGGTTGCTCTCACGCACCGGAACATCCGGTATCGCGCATATCACTACCTGTACCTGAGGAGAAGTGGCTCGCATGTCATCGACGCCTTTCGCCAGTGTGGCTGCTAGTCCTGCTGTATCTTCATTTAAGACATCGTTTAAACCGTCTGCAATTATCACGAGGATTCGTCTATCAGCTGTATTTTTGAGTTTTGCGCTCGCTTGCCTCATGACTGCTTCCAGCTTGCGTCCTGTGAACGCCCCTGCTGCAACCCTTTTGTCACCTTTTACCCTCTCTTTGATGGCTTCTGTGCATCGATTTAAATTCGAGTCCCCGGCGATTATCACATGCTGTGACTTGAAAGGTGAAAAAAATTGATCCCTAGCGGCACTCAACAGCGAATGTGGTTTATCTTGACAGTCTATTGGTAAGACAAAAAATCCTCGCAGGAAGATTTAGTTTGCTTAGAAACAAGCACGTATAACTTGAAATTGTATTTTATGAACTAAAGGCTGCTTTAGGTTGCGCCAGAGTCTAATATTTGCTTTTTTTTCTCACGCGTGCAAATAGCCACTCGGTGGCGCTGCCGTTGGTGTGTTCACTTGACTGCATGCCTGCCTGCAAACAGCGGAGAAACACGAGCACGGCGTCTGCCACCGCTCATGAGAACAACAAAAAATGTGCCTGCCTAAAACGACACTAAGGTATTTGTTTTACTAATAAACAAATCTTGATCAAGCCCGCAAAAATCGCACGCGGTTTCAGTTTTCGACTTCCACCGGCACCGACCAATGTTGGGGCCATTCATCCCACCGATGGAAGGAGACAGAACGCGGACAGGAAAATTCTGCTTTAAAAATTTCTACGCACTTTTGAGAGAAACCGCTTCAAGGTTAGACACTTCACGTGTTACGCTTTTCATTGCGACACGAAACACGAGAGCAATGAAGGACGGTAGACAGTCCCTTTAAGTAGGCCCGAATAAGTTACAGGCTTCAACAGAAAAGCATTGCCACAAATGAGAAGTTGATAACGCATGTACGTGTTCTTACTACATTGCGAACACATGGCCGGCTCACCACGGCATCACAAATGCTGCAAGCAGTGCGTCGCAAGCGGAATATTTCTTTTGAACCGCATTTTCTGGATATTGCAAAGAAATAGTATCAATATGTGTTTAGCGCGCACTCTACGCGGTCTCTCGTTACCTCACGAATGTTGATCTGGCTTGCATATTATAGTTTACACATTACTGGTGCTAGAACAACGCGCAGCAGAGAGCGCCACTGGCAGTCTTCTTTTTATTAGAAAGACGGCCCTTTCGCAGAAAAAAAAACATACAAAAGAACACCTGAGACTCATCAGTGGCATCACACATAGACCAAAAGTAACACTCGTGTATAATGTTTAACAAGGATCGGTAGAACGGTCCTTCTGCCCACCCTTGTATATCCGGAGGTCGACCAAAACGGTAACCGGTTGCTCTTAAATAACAAAGGCGCACTTACTCTAGGTCTGGGCATGGCCAGAGCAAGTGTGTCCCGTCCAGTGCAGTTATAAGAAAGTCAAAAAAGGGGCACGTGGTTCCATACGCTGGTAGGTAGCGTTGCGGCCGCGGCGAAACCATTCCGATCTGGGACTGGGATGTCCTAAAAATGAAGGTACATAACAATAATGTAACAGCTCGTCTTTATATGAGAGCATGTCATATCCACTTGTCACCCTCATTTCGAAAACTTTCTACGGAATACTGTGCTCCTCCATAGCCTCTCGTGCGCCCGCCTATGACAAAAAGGCCAAGTAGAGGTGATCTGACCATTCGACTGCTTAACGGCGCCACACTCGTACAATGACCACCTTATCTTCAAGGCTCTGTGAAACAAATTAGCGATGTGGTACTATTAAGGCTCCTTATATAGAACCGCTGGAACAAGACACACTGCGTCAGGATGGCAAAATGCACGCATTTAGAATTTTGTATTCCCCGCGCTGTTTACTGTTGCGCTCGAACGCCGTGGGGCGCCGCCACAGATGCAACAACCGCCGCGCCAACAAGTGGTGGCGGAACGCGTTCGTATATATAAATAAAAGTGCAAAAAGTAGGAAAAGGTGCACATGAGCTGCAGCAGGGCAAAAGCTCTCGCGTATCGGCCTCGCCTTTGTGTGGATTGTATCGGACATGTGACACGAGAGGCATCGACATGCCACATTTTGCCTGCCGTGTCTTTGACATTGTGAGTGCTACCAAAATGCGCTGTTTGCACGCACGCGCAAGTGAAGTACAGTACTCCGTTGATAGTAACTGTCGGTTTTGTACTGTCAGTCGCCGCTCCCTGCGTAGCAGTACCACCCAGTACAGATACAGTACAGTGTAAATTGCAGTATGCATGCCGGAGTAAAGTTCGTGAGGTAACGAGAGAACGCGCACAATACGCGCCAAGCTCATATTGACACTATTTCTTTGCAAATATCCAAAAAGTGCAGTACTAGAATGATAGCTTGCGACGCACTGCTTACAGCGTTTGTGGCGCCGTTGTGGGCTGGTCATGTAATCACTAAGTTGTTAAAACGCGTATTTGCATTATCAACTTCTCCGTTGTGGCGTTGCTTTTCTATTCAAACCGGTGACTTATATGTGCCGGCTTCTTCATTAAAACCGTTCGTAATCGGTCAAGATCTGTTTGTTTAATGGGTTTTGTGCTTTCATTTCAGCCATAGTGTGCCTCGACCACGTTTCAAGAAAATCTTTCGAGCAACTGCTTATGCTTTTGAACATCATGCCGACCAAGGTGCGTACGCCGAGTTATTGAACGTTGGACGGCGTTCTGCGTTGCTGTGTTCGTTTTACTAACGTGTCTTGTGAAGCAAGTAGTTGTTCCCATGACACACGTGCAACAGAATCAGTTCCGTGTTGCCGGCCGCAAGCACTACTCAACTACTTGTTCGAACACTGATTTCGGCCGTTACCTACCTGCACTCCAACTTCGTCCAGCTTGCTAGTTAAATTTGTGTAATGGGGTATTGTTTTGGTTTCCGTACTTTCCGGGTGACTTGAGAATCGTAAATGTAAAGTGGGAAAGCCTTTACCGTCTTGTTCACTGTGAAATGTGCCTTTCTGAGCTATACAACATATAACGTGTTTCACCAAGTTTAACGAGCAGTTTGCTCGTAAAATTACTGTGATAATTTAACGTGTTCTGATATCAAATCGAGCAGTTTAGAAATGAATCTGTGGCCAAGTTTGCTGTACTGTGCCTTTCTCTTACAAAAAGCACCCGACTAGTGCAAAAGTAAGGTGACACATTAGAGGACACCCACTTGTTTATATTTGATAGAGTAGCTTACAAAAACCGCCTCTGTAAAATTCTTTGCTGCATGTGAAAAGACAGCATTTTAGAATATTATAATATTATAAGAGCAATAAAGGCAAGTTTGGGACTTCAAATGTCTCACAGTTTTTTACCAGCTGCGGAAGCTTTTATTAATATTTGCAGCTTGGGTTCAGGTTTAACAAGTTTCCTTGGTATTTTAGTTGCTTAGGTATGTCCCAAAATGCTGTCCTTCCCTTTTGTCTTGGGTTACAGTTTCGAGCTAGACGCTCATGCCTGGAAGTTCTTATATACTGGCCAAAAACACAATAAACAGTAATAATGAACAGGACATGACTTCCGAGCATACATGTCTTATGATGTTTATTCTTTTTATATTTGCAGCCATTTTCACTGCACTCGTGGATATTGATAACATCTGCTTTTGTAGTTTGATCGATTCATATATGTAGTGATTGCACTGTGTAGGGCTTGTTGTTTTAAGTTGGCGTGTGATGTTTTATATGGCGTAGCATGTTCTACATGTTCTTTTTATCTATTCACCTTAATGCTGTCAACTAATCTGAACAGGTCAGAGATGACTGCCAAACCAGAGTCAAGTCCTCGCACCTTATTTATTTGATTTATTTATTTAATGCACACTGCAGACCTTCACAGGTCCAAGCAGGTGGGCACGATACAAGTAGCAAGTACATGTTTGGCACTCAAGTCAGGTAGAAAAGGAAAAAGGAAAGAATTCAACATACAAGTACAGGTTTACACACCCAACACACAGTTTACTCACAGTAAATCAACCAAGGTGAATCTTTAAACCGAGTTTTTTAGAAGGTTCCATTCTTCCACTGTTCGTGGAAAAAAAGAAAATTTAAATGCATCTTTCCGTGCAAAATAAGGTGTTAGGGTTCCGGGGTGATGGTGTCTCGTATGCCTTGTCGATATGGGTGTCAGGTACTGTGTAGGGTCTAGTGCTGTTTGTCTTTGAAGAAGTTGGGAAAGAAAATTAAGCCTAAATGTCTTCCGTCGTGACTCAAGGAGTTCAATGTCATTAGCCCTAATTAACTCAGAAGATGAATCAGTGTGATGAAACTTAGAGTATATATACCTTACAGCTTTTCTTTGGATTCTTTCTAGTTTATTGACGTTTTTCTGTGTGAACGGGTCCCATATTATGCATGCATATTCTAACTTTGGTTGGATTATTGATTGGTCGGCCAGGAGTCTGTAGACTGCATTGCAATATGCTTAAAAAGTAGAACAAGACACACTGCTTTTAGATGTTTCGATGAAAGCAAAAGCTTGCAAAGAGAAAATAGGGATAGTGCACATGCTAGATATTGTGATGCATGTTGTGATGGCTGAAGATAAAGGTCATTTATGAGCTAACTGTTTGTAACCAGACACAGCTATTCTAATCTATTTCTGGCACTCCCATGGCAAGCTTCATTTAGACGGAAAGCATTCTCGCAACGATCAGGGGCGTACTATGGCACATTCAAGCACCATCAATGTATTTTGATGAGAACTGACAAACAATTATGCCAAGGAAAGTATCATCATCACCCTTAACACGCCCACTGCAGGGCAAAGGCCTCTCCCATGATCCACCAATCAACCCGGTCATGTGCTTTCTGTTGCCATGTTATACCCGCAAGCGTTTTAATCTCGTCGGCCGACCCAACTTTCTGCCTCCCCTTCTTGCGTTTGCCTTCTCTGGGAATCCAGTCAGTTACCCTTAATGACCAGCGGTTATCCTGCCTACGCGCTACGTGTCCGGCCCATGTCCATTTCTTTTTCGTGATTTCGGTTATCATATCCTTAACCCCGGTTTGTTCCCTCACCTACACTGCTCTCTTGTCTCTTAAGGCTACACCTATCATTTTCCTTTCCATCGCTCACTGCGTCGTCCTCAATTTTAGCTGAATCCTGAAGAGGAAAGTATAGCGGATATTATTAACAGTAATTGTTGTGTAAATGTGAAGAAAGTGGAAGAAACGATAACTTGCGGTGTGCAGGGATCAAACCTGCGACCTTCGAATAATGTTCCACTTTATACGGCACCTATGCACATACATACCTCATAAAGTGGATGGGGGGATAGCCACCTTGGTAGTTCAGTTGGTAGAGCATCGTACGCATTATTCGAAGGTCCCAGGTTCGGTCCCTGCCCACGGCAAGTTATCGTTTCTTCCATTTTTTTCTTTCTTCATATTTACATACCAATTACTTCTAATATCCTATATACTTTTCTTGGCATAATTGTCAGTCAGTTCTCATTAATATTGTTTCTAACAAAGAAAGTGCACCCTTAAGTTGCACCCTTCTTTCCTTCATTTATGTATTTTAGTTATTCACATCATTGCAGTCCTGTGGGATTTAATATAAGGCTACAAATGTCAGAAATTTTCAAATAACTCTCAGTGTAATGTCCTGGCTGATGCACTAATACAAATGAACAATAACCAGGTTATTCACAAATGCAAATATTTTACAGCAGAACTATTAAACTTCTCGTTATGCTTTGAGACTATCACCATGAATTGTCATGCGCTCTCTTTCATCCTCTTTCTCATCACCTGGTTCGCTCCCAAACATGTGTGCCAATTTGTCTCGTGTGGGATGCAATAACTCTCATGAGCAAGAGAACATGTACAGGGAGTGAGAGAAAGAGACAGAAATAAGGCAAAAAGATTCAAGATGCAAGAACGAGCACAGAGAGAGATAAAGAAATAAACAGATAGAACAATAGATCAAATGGATCTTGCACCAAAAAACACCATATATCATCATCAGATAGAACAATAGAGAAAGAAAAAACAGACTAAACAAAATACAGCAACTATGTATAGTATAGCAAAAGATAGTAAAGGGAAAGTCGGTATGGCAGAGGGCACTGCTTCCTCTCTGCCACTAGTGCATAGCTGCTGCAATTATTTTTTAATCTAGTATTTCAATACTCCGTACAGTTTACAGCACAATCGTGTGGGATGCAATAACTCTCATGAGCAAGAGAACATGTACAGGGAGTGAGAGAAAGAGACAGAAATAAGGCAAAAAGATTCAAGATGCAAGAACGAGCACAGAGAGAGATAAAGAAATAAACAGATAGAACAATAGATCAAATGGATCTTGCACCAAAAAACACCATATATCATCATCAGATAGAACAATAGAGAAAGAAAAAACAGACTAAACAAAATACAGCAACTATGTATAGTATAGCAAAAGATAGTAAAGGGAAAGTCGGTATGGCAGAGGGCACTGCTTCCTCTCTGCCACTAGTGCATAGCTGCTGCAATTATTTTTTAATCTAGTATTTCAATACTCCGTACAGTTTACAGCACAATCGTGTGGGATGCAATAACTCTCATGAGCAAGAGAACATGTACAGGGAGTGAGAGAAAGAGACAGAAATAAGGCAAAAAGATTCAAGATGCAAGAACGAGCACAGAGAGAGATAAAGAAATAAACAGATAGAACAATAGATCAAATGGATCTTGCACCAAAAAACACCATATATCATCATCAGATAGAACAATAGAGAAAGAAAAAACAGACTAAACAAAATACAGCAACTATGTATAGTATAGCAAAAGATAGTAAAGGGAAAGTCGGTATGGCAGAGGGCACTGCTTCCTCTCTGCCACTAGTGCATAGCTGCTGCAATTATTTTTTAATCTAGTATTTCAATACTCCGTACAGTTTACAGCACAATCAGCGATGATGAAACTAAAACATGACATAGATGTACTTATTCCTTGCCACAGTGGCTATAATAGAATGTGCGAGTACACAACATATGTATAAAAGAATACGTATAGAGGAATACGTGTGTGCCAAGCTTCTCTGGCAACCAGGCTTTTTGACTAAAATGCGATCACTCATGCTCAAATTTCACTGAGATTTGGCATTCAGCAATGGGTGTTTTTCAGTGTTTTTTATTGAAGCTTGAACTGCGTGTCCAGATCTCTTGGGATTGGCTCAAATACGCTTAACAACAAAGTTACTTGACTGGAAAATAACCCCCATCTTATAACATCATATGTAAGTAAAAAAGAACTGCTTCTCTTGCTTGACCATTGCTGCAATCCATATACATTTTCATTTTAGTCTGAAACCTGCACCCAGATGCTAGCCATATATTCAGACCAGCTTTTCAAATGAGTTTTCTAACACATCACTATGTGAGCTCTAAGGTAGCTATCCAACCACAATACTCTATTCAAGCTTTCAATCTAGCATACTTCAAATAAACTGTGATGATGAAAACTTGGACACCATTGCCCCTAATAACATTGTTTTATGTTAATGCTAGGAAAAAGTTGTTTTTTTTTTAAGTGTTCAGTGTTTGATTTCATTTACCTTGGCTATTTGTCTATTTCATTAGGCGGCAAAGTGTGTGACCAAATTTTTTCGAGTTAGAAAAGTAACCTCATAGTCTTTCTATTATTCCAAACTTTCAC